GTTTGGACAGAGGCCACAGCTGGGTCCAAGAGGGCCCATGTTTGTTCACAGTTCCTGTCTGGTGTCACTACAGTCGCGCAGTGCTCAGCAGATCCGACCTGGTGGCCCTCAGGGCCCAGAGCCAAAGCTATCAGTCCAGTGGCCTTCAAGAGATCTAAGCCAGGGATATGTCACAACATGGAACACCCCGAGAAGCCCACCTGCTCCCCCTAATCATGAAACACCTGGAAAAGCCCACCTGCCTGCCCCAATCATGAAACACCTGGAGAAGCCCACCTGCCTGCCCCAATCATGAAACACCCGGAGAAGCCCACCTGCTCCCCCTAATCATGAAACACCCGGAGAAGTCCACCCGCCCCAGCCTCTAAAGCAGCTCAAATACCACTTCTCCAACTCACAGCCCCCGTGGCCCACACTACCCGCACTCTGCTCCCTAATCACTTTACTCACAAATCCTATAAGCATCTGTACATCTTACTGAAACGAACCGGTTGCACCAAATAAAACGGCCCGTAATTTCTCAAGTGGCCTCTGCCCTCCAGAGTGCTCCCGTCATGACCAGGTCGGCCCCACGCCGTCTGACCCTGGCCCTTGCCCAGCCAGCGCCTGGGGACAGGGTCAGCAGGATCCCCCCCACTCCCACCCCGTCTTCCAGGAGTACCTAACATTGAGCCTCTCGCGCTACACTGTGAGCATCAGCTTACTCCTCGGCAGGCCCCGCAAAACCAAGAGCTTCTTATGAAAAGAACCTGCCTCCAACGCAGCTGTTTTCCCGGCCCTTGCCTGGCTCAGAGAAACCCCTCAAAGGACGTGGAGCACGTAAGTGGATGGATGAACCGGGGGATGAAGAGAGGAGTGCACACCCCGGGCCACCGGCGTCGGCAGGACCTCAAGAAGAGCACCTGCTCCCACGCTGATGTGGCCCTGACCTCAGCTCCGTCACCTCTAGTCCCTGCTCAGCACCAAGGGGTAGGGCTGGTCCCTGGGAAACCAGGAAGAACGTCTCTCCAGCTTAACATCCTCAAAAACAACCACCTACACCAGGGCTTCCTCTGAGGTCAGGCCTGACCAGCTCAGACATGCTGCTCGGGAGAGTGCACGTACGTCAGGTCTGAGCACTAAGGCTGGTGCTCAAGGGGGAGCCGTTGCACGAGTGCCGACAGTAGTGCATGAAGAGGAGAGAAAGGGCCCTGGCCAATGTGGCTCGGTGGTAGAGCGTCGGCCTGGGAACTGAAAGGTCCCGGGTTCCATTCCAGTCATGGGCATGGACCTCAGTTGCAGACTCCTCCCCCACCTGGGCCCTGATCAGGGCTCGTGCAGGAGGCAACCAATTGTTGTGTTTCTCCCACATCGATGTTCCTCTCTGTCTTTCCCTCTCTCTTCCACTGGCTCTAAAAATTCAATGGAAAAATATCCTCGGGTGAGGATTAAAAAACAAAAGAAAAGAGAAAGCATTCCATGAATGGAAGATCATCTCAGTAGACGGGGTTTCACACAGCATTTCTCTCTCGCCCCCGAAGCTGAATGTGTAGGGTCAGCATCGAGTCCACATCCAGCCGCCCTGTGCCCACCGCCGGGCCAGAGGGCCCCGCCCCGCCAGCCCCCCCGGCCCAGTCTGTTCCCTGGCACCAGCAGGAACACCTTTTCCGAGAACTGGTGGAAGTGCACCATTAGCCTTACGCCGCTGGCGCCTGAAACCCACACGCTCAACGTGCCCAGCAGAAACACCTCCTTCGGCCCGAGAGCAGTGGTTTCTGGGCAGCCTGCTTCTCACATTAGAAATGCCTGCAATGGACGCTGCTCTCCGTTAGACACAGAAATGACCATCCGTCTTCCCCTGCTCGCATCAAAGCTGACATCGCAAAACGATGTTGGAGATTTTATTTCATATCCTTTACTTCATGCACTTACTCATACACAACAGCGTATTAATTATAGATTCATCATCTACTAGAATATGCACCACGTGCTCACTCATACAAACGGAGCATTAATTATAGATTAAGCGTCTACTAGGCTACACACTATGTGCTCACTCACACAGCAGAGTATTAATTGTAGACTGATTAGCTAGTAGGCTCTGAACTATCTGAAGACGGACAGCAATATGACTGTCTGTCTAGCGCACATCAAGCACACAGAGGCTGTTGGGTATGATTATCATTTTATGAAGGTTTCCAGGAGCCAAGCTTCAGGTCGTAATGACTCAATGAGAGGGTCCCAACAGAGTTTACTGAAAAGGTTCTGTAAGTCTGACTGAACTCCTAGCAGGATGATGTCTAGAGATAGTAACTATGAACTCTAAGGCTCTGAACAAATTATAAAAACCAACTATCTGAAGCCCGTGGAGAACGATCAGAAACAAGAAAATTCTGGAAGAGAGTCAGACTTGGGAGAAGGGAATGGCCTGGGCGAATTCACTGATTTTAGAATGTTCGGCCTCAACAGCAGGGTTTCAGGCAACGACAGCATTGAGATGTCGGGGAGGAACACTAGGAAAGACAAGAGGCAGAGCTGAGGAGCCCCCAATTTCATGGATAAAATCCAACAACATATAAAAGGATAGTATGTCATTACTAGGTAAGGTTTAACCGAGGAATGCAAAGTTGGTTTAATTCAAACAACTCAATCAATAAAATTCACCATGTGGAAAATTCAAAGGAGTAACATCCTTGTTCGTTCCAACAGATGCAGAAATGGCATTCACAAACACTCACCGCCTCATCTGGATCAAACCTCTCGGCACAACTGAAGTAGAAGGAGCTTCCTCTACCTCATAAAGGGCATCTAATAAAAACCTATGGCTGTTGCCATTCTTAATGGTAACATACTGAATGTTTCCTACATTGACTGGGATAAGGGAAGAATGCCTAATCTTCCCACTTGCATTCAAATATTATACTAGAGATACTAGCCAATACAATAAAGCAAGCTAAATCCATAAAGAGCACACAAATTGGAAAGGAAGAAGTAATCAGTTTATACAGATGATATACTTATGTACATAGCATATCCTAAAGAATTATAAAGCAACTTACTAGAATTAACGAGTTAGCAAGGTAGCAGCATACAAGGTTAATATATAACATTTTAATTAGATGCAAAAAAAAGGAAAAGAATTTTAAATATCCATTTTACAAGTGTCAAAACATAAAACTTTTAGGAACAAGTTTAGCAAAAGACACATAATCCCTTTATCCTGAAAAGTATAAAATGCTATTGATAGAAAATAAACATCTAAATAAATGGAAAAGATATACCATGATCAAATCTCCCTAACCTGATCAACAGATTCAATGCAACTGCAATCATAATCCCTACAGAACGTTTTGGGACAATACATACAATACGTATTTAACTTACATAAAATTGCAAAGGATCTATATCCTGAGAAGGGAGGACAAAGCTGAAGGGACTACATGACCTAACTTGATGCCTTATTATAAAAAAGCTACCGTAATGAAGGCAGTAGGGTAGTAGCATTAGGATCCATAAGAAGAAAGTGTGACAACAGACCCTCCCTTCCACAGTCACCTGGTTCTCTTCAGAGATGCACAAGCATCAAGAAGGAAACATCTTTCAACAAATCGGACTGAAAAACTGAGTATCTGTATGAAGAAAAAAATGAATTTTGACCCTCTATCTCACACCATACACAAAAATTAATGTCAGACGCATCGTAGGCCTAAAAGTAAAAGCTACAAGGAAATACAGGAGATTATCTTTATGTTTAGCAAAGGACTTTAACATTTCCTTGAGCTTGGCAAAGATTTCTTAATTGGTAAAAGGTAACCATCAGAAAAGGAAATCCTGATACATCAGACGTCGTCAAAATCGAAAGCATCTGCTTATCACAGGACTCCACTAAGAAAACAGCAGACAAGTCACAGACTGGCCCAAGTGTTCACAAATCCCATGTCTAACAAATATGTGTCCAGGATATATAAAAAGCTCCTACAATTCAATGGTAAGAAGGCATCCTTCCCATTTAGAAATAGACCAAAAATCTAAAAAGACACTTCACAACAGGAGATAAATGAACAGCCAATAAATACATGAAAAAAGCACACAAAATCGTTACTCATCAGGAAAATGCAAATTAACACCACAAGGAATGCCACTAGCACTCCTGGCTGAAACTGAAGCGACTGATAACATCAAAAGTTGACGCAGACCTGGAGCAGTCACAATTGTGTGCACTGCCCCTGGAGATGTCACAGGGTACAGACGCTTTGCGGGGGGAGGGGAGGAGTATGGCAATTTCTTGTAAAACTAAATGCACAGCCACGAGATGCCTAAGCATTTACTCAAAATAAGTGAAAACATATGGTCACAAAGTGATTTGTTTGAAAATGCGTGTGCAATTTGATTTATAACAACGCACGCTGAAAACGGCCCAGGCAAATGGATAGCGTGTGGCATACTCAGGTAACAGATTAGTATTCAGCAATCTAAAGAAACCAGCTACTGAGATCTACAAAAGTGTGCGGGAATCGTGTACATGGACTCACAAAAGGAAGAAAAACAAGTAAAAATAGTATCAATTCGGGCCAAATCTAAGAAGACCCAGATTTCAGAATTAGATACAAACTTTAAAGCACCTAATAGCACAGAATAATACTTGCATGAATGAAAAACAGACCCTTTTCTATAGAATGGATAACTAGAATAAACAGTATTTTGAACATTTATGTGTTGAACCCCCTAATTTCATTCCTAATCCAACCCCCATCTTACAAATAAAGAAACTAAAGTAGAAGGAAGTTACCTAACCGTCCAGTCACACCGCCAGAGTGCCCGTAAGCATACTTTTTAGGGCTCCATCCCTCAAACAGTGGAGACGAGTCGCTAAGTTCCTGATCGCGTGTGAAAGTCTGTGTGTGTTGGGGGGGGAGGGAGGGGGCTGTGCTAAGGGGACGACCCCACGGAAAATACCAGACAAAGCAGAAACGCAAACTCCCTGGGGGAAGCGCGCGCCTGCAGCGGCCTCACTGTCTTACCTTAGGGAACTGTTTTACGGGAATTAACACTTTCTGTCCCAGCTTCATGTTCTTATTAATCACCACATCAATGTACTTCTCTTCGTCCTTTCCTTCTCCTTTCTGAAACTTTTCTATTTCTGTGGAGGAAAAAAGATAACCATGAAGCGTGCGACTTGGAACTCCAGGGGCGGGGAGTTCTCGGCGGCTCTGTGGTGGCAAATGCAGAAACGCGGACTAGCAGACGGTACGTCTTATCGATCATTCATCTATCGATCATTCATCGCCGGCACCGTGGGAAAGGCACAGACCGCGGCCCTAGCGAGCAGATCGCCGTTGCCTGTGCTAATGGAAGCTCACAAGCCAACAGGGGCACCAGAAGTTCCCTGGGACCTTCTGGAACCCGAGAGAAAGGCTGAGCAAATAGCACCCAGGAGCCAGGAAGGATTGTGGGTCCGGGTTACCAAGTGAGGACAGCCCTGGTCGGCGCCCTGCCCGGCTCTCCCAGGCCCCTCCCCTCAAGCACTGATTCTTCAGGTGCCTTCAAAGCCCCAGACGACCTGTCCGTTGCCCCCCAAGCAACTCTCCCCTCCCCTCCAGGGACAAGATCAAGGACAGGCCCCCGTCTTTGCTAACACTCTTCTCTCTCCCTGTGATGCCATTTGCTGCACAATTTCAGTTCCACACATACTGGTATCTCCTTCCAGATCCAGCCGCGTGGGCTGCCACGCTTCATGCACCTCCCGCCCTTTTCTCGAGGGGCAGCACGAGTGGGAGAACCGCCCCCTCCCGCCCTGACACTCACAAAGCGCCTCACACACGGCTATACTGGAGTTTCTGCGGCAGACAGTGTGTCCCCCGCACCCCAAATTCATCTACAGAGATCCCAACCCCCACCCCCAATATGATGGGATTTGGAGGTGGGGCCTTTGGGAGGTGATAGGTCATGAGGGTGGAGCCCTCATGAATGAAATTAGTGCCCCTTGTGAGGACACAGCCGGAAGACTGCCATCTATGAACCTGGATGGGCCCCCACCTGACCACACCTGTGGGTGTGTTCACCTAGGACGCGCAGCCTCCGATCCGTGAGAAATAGTTTCCAGTTGCCTACAGGCCAGCCCGTGTGTGGGAGTCTGTTACAGGAGCCTCCGCTGACTAAGATGCTCTCCCAGCGGAACCTATGTTTCTCTTAGGTAACATCTGTTTCTTCACGCAACAAACATCCACGGCTAAGCACCTACTATGTGCACGTTCCAGATCCTGGAAAACGTCAGTATAGTTTCCTCGAGTTATTGCATATGGCACTTGGCTGTGCAAGAGGCACACAGCAGGTGCCTGGACTGCTGAATGGCTGTGCACGTGGGCCAATTCCTCCACAGGCTGATCACAAGGTGCCCAGGCTCTGAGGAAAACGGTGAAGAAATACAAGGGAGTCGCTGTGGTTGAGCTGCTAGAGGCACGGGACATGACTCTACCCTTGTTCTAACTAGCCTGAGAGCTGCAACTTGTGAACTCTAGAGTTACGCCTGTAGATATAATGTGCATGTACATATACACATACATGCATGTATAGACATATGTATATACATATGAACATCCATGTAAATCCTATGGATAAACCTCTGATTAGCCCCCGAAGGACTCAGGAAAGAATGTTCACATCTCCAGACTCTTGGCAGTCATCATCCAGGCCGCGGGCATCTGTAAGACTGTCATCTGGGACCCATCCAGAAGCTAAGCATGCAGGACCGAACCTCAGGCATGTACGTTCTGCTATAAAAACTCAGCTATTCTTGCTTCTTCGGAGCACTCCAAACTACTTGGAGTGGTGTTTCTGGTTTGCAAACTCTAAAACCCTTGAATGAATATCATTCATTTCTAGCCAGAGCCCCCTGATTCATTTCCCCTTGGTGGACAGTTCAAAGAAGGGGACCTTTAAGCAGAGAGAGGTACCAAAGATGGCATCAGTTGTACAAAGGGGCACAGATATTTATCTGTTTTGCTGTGGAGCTGGGAATATTTTGGAATTTGATGTCACATTCCTGACACAATACAATCCTCTCGGGAGATGACAAACAGGAAGTTCAGAAAGTTCACTTTGCTGTAAGAAATGGCAAAGGTGGCATTTGTCCCCAGGTGTGTCGGACTGTAATGCAGCATGCCGCTACAGTCTCCCCCACCGTTGTTCTTATGTCCTGTTGGACAGGAAATATGATTTCCATAGCACCTTCGGGCCAGTGGGAAACGTGTGTGAAGCGGGAGGCTTCAGTCACCACTGATGGGCCCGGGGGACCTCAATGTCCTTCTCTTAGTAACTTCCCACGCCCTGATCCCTCACTCTGCTCATCAGCTCTACACCCCGCCTGTCCCTGCTGTATCAGAACTGAGCCTGATCCCTCCCCCTCCGGGGGGAGGACTGAGCAACGTCTTCCTGACCATTTTAACAAGCGTCAGAACCGCTGTCTCCTTAACAACACAGAGTAGAAACTCTAGATCAGGTGGGATGTCATGAAACATACATATTTGGTCTTTGAGCTCAGTTCCTGGCACAGAGCTCCGACAACCCTTGGGATTCCCTGCACTGGGAGTGCCTTCTGTTCCTCACAGCAAACCCCGTCAGGCAAACGTGAGTTCCTGCTCAGGAGGTGCGTCCTGGAGGAAGGGGGCCTGGTTGCCAGAAACGCCAGCCTGGTGACTAGCAGGCTGACCCCTCAGCGCCTGGCACTCCTGGCACCTCTGGAGGAGGAGCAGAGCGAGACGCTGAGTTCAGTCCTCGGTGGACACGGATGCAGTCAGTCATGCCCATGTGATGGAAACTCCTTAAAAACCAGAGTGGGGACAGCTTCTGGAAATACCTTTAGCATAGTTAGAAGAGTCAACAAAATTTGGTACACTGAAATTCCCTAGAAAAAAAGAAAGAAGCTTTAATGTGCGTGTGCTTGTCAAAGTAGATTTCATGACCTGTTTTCAAATAACAAAGCACCTCATGATTTTTGAGAACTTAGAACATATGCACAATTTAAAATTCAATTCCATAATCAGAACGCAAAATGTTACTCCTCGCACCAGCCGACATTTACCATTTGAAGTAACATGTAAAGTCATAAAGGTAAGGTTAAAAAATTAGGGGGAAAATAGGTATTTTACCATAGGTTACATTAAAGTTTGAGAAATGCTTATGATTTTAAAGAGGAAAATGAAAATACATGATTTGCAACAGCATGGATGGAACTGGAGAGCATTATGCTAAGTGAAATAAGCCAGTCGGAGAAAGATAGATATCACATGATCTCACTCATATGTGGGATGTAATGATCAACATAATTTGAGGAACAAGAATAGATCCAGAGACAAACGGCAGGGTAAGTCGGGGGGGGAGGGGGGAGTGGTTAGAGAGCAACCAAAGGACTTGTACGCATGCATATTAGCATAACCAATGGACACAGACACTGGGGCTGGTGGTGGGGGCTTGCCTGGGGTGGGAATGGCTGGTGGGGGAGGGCAATTGGGGGAAAAGGAGACATATGTAAAAATTTAAACAATAAAAAAAAAGAAAATACATATTTAAAAAAACCTGATTTCCCTTCTTGATAAATAGCCAACTTTGCAAACCATGCCTTGCTAAATAAAATCCGTTGTTACCTTAAGGAAGTTTGGATTATGTGGAATTACACATTTCACTGGTTAAGATTTACTTTTTAAAAATGTTGAAGCCTGGTGTCCTAGTGACAGAGCAGGTGGGTTTTCGTGCCCAGGGGCTGCCACCCCACACAGGGACTGAAGAAGCAGGCCCCTCTTTGGAGGCCCACAGCTCGGTTCCTGCAAGGCCTCCGTGCCCTCCAGCTACACGTCACAACGTCCATCCTTTAGGCCCAGGTCAGGCGGCCACTGTGTATTTCCTACCTGACTGGGGATGGTGAGCAGTTCGCTGTTCCCATGAATCCCAATAAGACACAAGGCCAAAAAGTGGGGGTCTGTACCCAGGGCCGATGAAATCTTGTACGCCAGCCCCTAACTGGGGGCTCCCTATTCCTGCCCCCACCACTCTGACCTTCCCTCCGGAACGGGGGGCTCAGCCATGTGGGTGTGCCCCCTCTGCTCCTTCCACCGTGGCCAGTGAAAGGCAAGGTAACCACAGACAAGATCCAATTTGTCACCAGACAGCTTACTACCCCAATCCACCCCCGCCCCCAGCTCAGGAATGGGAAGCAACTGAGCGGTTAGGTTTTAGATCACACAGGGCCGTAGTCGGCAAACCACGGCTCGCGAGCCACATGCGGCTCTTTGGCCCCGAGTGTGGCTCTTCCACAAAATACCACGTGTGGGCGCACACGTACAGTGCGACTGAAACTCCGTGGACCATAGGCAGAAGTCGGTATTTTGTGGAAGAGCGACACTCAAGGGGCCAAAGAGCCGCATGTGGCTCGCGAGCCGCAGTTTGCCGACCACTGACGTAGGGGATTGAAATGGTTTCCAGACCACGGATCTGAATTTCTGCCACCCGGAAATGAAGTCACTTCCAGCATCTCCTGTGCTCCGGCCTCGCAGGCACGGGGCCTCCTGAGCCATGGCCTCGTAGCTCTGGGGCCCGCCCGCCATGTCTGGGCACGTAGGGAGTTTAGGTTCCAATATCAGCCGTAGAGCCGAGTGCATCCATTTCCACTGAAACCGCTGGAATCCGCGCCCGGGACCGAGCACATGCAGAGGGAATTCTCCGTGTCCCGGCCGCTCTGCTTCTACGACTGTTCCCTGCAGACACAGGGCTGGGCGGGACGAGAAACGCCACGCGCAGCGTCACCCACGGCCGTGTCTTCATTAGCTCACGCCGAAGCCGCTCCGAGTCCACGGAGGCAGGGACGTGAGTGAGGGCGCAGCCCTTCGGGGAGAGTGCGCGGCCACGCCACAAGCTCAGGAAACGATGCTCTGATCCGGAAAGACACTGGTCTCCACCACAGACACTGTTCACACTGGGCCATCCGAGGGGGGTTTCCTTCGAGGCCCGCATGTATGTTCAGGTGTGGACGCCTGAAACAGTAGCAGCACAGACCAGAGGTGCTGCTGCCTGAGGCATGAAGCATGAAGGGGCGGGAGTGGGGGACAGGCAGAGACAGACAGACAGATAGACTATATGGCCAGGACAGGGCGTTAGCCTTCCACAGACAGGGAGCCAAGCGAACAAGAACACAGACCCCGATCTCACTGCCCCCTCCCACCGGCCTCCTGCTGGTGACTTCCCAGGATGGGGAGCGGGAGGGGGTGCCCAGACCTGCACACCCCCACAGGCCTCCTGATACAGAACAGGGAGACGGGGGGGGGGTAGGATCCGGGAAAACAACAGCAGCCCCCAGTCCTGCCTTTGGTGGAGGGGGGACTCCCCAGAAAGAGGCTCTGGTGCCTGCTTTCCATCCAAGAGTCCCCATGCGAGGCTGCACGTGGACTATAACACAGCAAAGTATGGGCAGGGGGGGAAGCCGGCTGGAGTCCAGACTGCACCGGAAGTCATCAGGTGATTACGAGGTGACTTTGCTGACAATGGTCCCCCAAGTAGAGGGCTGTGTGCCTGACTCAAAGCCTCTCTCCTCTCATCCATCGACGACCGATCACCCCACTTCGCGACCACAGCCCCTGAAGATCCAAATGGGAGGAACCTGCCACAGGTTACACCAGCGGTTCTCAACCTGTGGGTTGCGACCCCTTTGGCGGTCGAACGACCCTTTCACAGGGGTCGCCTAAGACCATCCTGCATACCAGATATTTACATGACGATTCATAACAGTAGCAACATTACAGTTATGAAGTAGCAACGAAAATAATTTTATGGTTGGGGGTCACCACAACATGAGGAGCTGTATTTAAAGGGCCAGAAGGTTGAGAACCGCTGGGTTATTAGACAGTTTGTAATTGGCCGGACGCAGCACGAAATGAGAGGCCCCCGAAGAGTGAGAACACCTCCTCGCTCTACACTCCCAAATCTGTTTCAAAATAACACAGCAGCCCAGTCAGAGGACTCAAACTGATCGCAGATGAGAGAGAGAGAGAGAGAGAGAGAGAGAGCGAGCACTGGCAGCCATCGTAAACTCTATTTGACAGATTACTAACGTGCTCCAGGGGCGGCTGGTCGGAAAGGACGTTTTTTAACCTCCAACACGACAGCTGCATTCGCTAAGGAACTGTTTGATTGAAGCAATCCAAACCTACCTGAACACCTATTAGATTCAAGTAGGAGCTGAAGACACTGAAACCTGCCCAGACTAGACGGAGGCCCACAGCTCACAGTTGTACCAATGCCCTTCCATGAACAGGAAAACATGGCAGAGGGGAGATGCGTATTGGTCCTAATAAGGACCGATCAGCTCATCGTAAACACACATACATATACCACCCAGGGAGCAGTCCATGGTCTGACCACTAAGGATGCTCAGAAGTGAACTTTGTTTTTTTTAAAAAAATATATTTTTATTGATTTCAGAGAGGAAGGGAGAGGGAAAGAGAGAAACGTCAATGATGAGAGAGAATCATTGATCGGCTGCCTCCTACATGCCCTGCATCTGCCCAAGGGTTTAACCACATTTCTCACTTTTAATTGCGAACATCGTTAAGCATCCAGCAAAAGACCAGCTATCTTCAACAATTATCAGGCTCCGGAGGTCACCAATTAGAACCCTGCAAGGATTCGAATTAAAAAAAGTTCTGTGATGAGACAAAGTAATGATCCAAGGGAGAGATTAGTCCTGTTCAGGCTGCACTCATTACAAAACCCATTTCCTGTGCGTGGAGACTCAGTGTCACCCTGCCGACAGGACACCCTCACACTCCGAAGCAGATGGAGGGCTGTGCCAACGACGTTCTACCACAGCCACGTGACACACGCACTTTGCTCTCCTGAATGTTTGCTATTGATTAGATAGATGTACAGTAACACAGACTCGAACGGTGTGAGAACATTCAAAACAAATCCAAGGATATAATTGTGCCATGGCTACTTTAAATTTTTAGGTCACTTCCATAACCATAGTCACTCCTTATTTATATACAGAGTAATTGGGGGGAAATAATCCTTAAGATAATAAATCGCATTTCTCATCTGATGATGATCGGCAGGGTCACTTTTAGGAAAAGAATTCCCAAAATAAAAGAGCATGACCAAGGATCCCAGAGAGACCCCAGAGAGCACACCTACTCAACACACCTATCAGCAGCCCTGGCCCGTGTGGCTCAGTTGGTTGGACGCTGCCTCATGCAACCCAGAGGTCGCTAGTTCAATTCCTGGTCAGGGCACGTGCCCAAGCTGCCAGGTCAATCCCTGGTAGGGGGCATGACAGGAGGCAGCCAATGGATGATTCTCTCTCGTCATGGATGTTTCTCTCTCTCCCTCTCCCTTCCTCTCTCACTAAAAGTCAGTAAAAACATATTTTAAAGATAAATAATAAAAGGCATGTCAACAAAACCATAAACAATATGCAGAATAATACGCATGGCCAGAAAAATGCAGCTTAATAATAATAGTACAAAAACGTACAAGATGTCCCCAAATACCATTATTTCCCTTATAGCTCAATAGTCTAAGCTCCCTGAAAATTGCCAAAGAGGCATAAAAACACTGTTTAAAAACAAAATACAACTGCAACAGCAACCCCAGTGCTGTCCCTCAGATCCAGTCTCCCTAGAAAGTTAAAACGATGACAGGACGCGATTTGCACTCAACTCCTCAACAGTCACCGCTTCTGAGGACGGCAATGGTCTCAGCACGGACACATCCAGCCACTGACCGTGGGGACGCGGCCTGTGCCCGCTGACAGCCAGCAGGAGCTCTGCGGACCGGCTCCCTCTCCCTCGCATCTCACAGGCCGCTTCTCCCTATGAGTCTGACACCCTCTCGGGGCCCTGCCCAGGGGGTTTTCTTAAAGGGATCTGTCAGGTGAGGTGCAGACCTTCCCATTCCAGGCCACACTGTGCATCAGAATCATCCAGGGATCTCAGGAGAAGTCACTACACGAAAGCCAGTCGATAGCATCTGTCTGTTTACAGCTTGTCCTTCGACCACCATGTATTCAGTTAGCAACCTCGCACACCAGAGGTTCCCCAGTGTCAAACCGACGGACAGCTGAGGCTCCGTTTTGAGGCTGACTCACAGGTTACCGTTCCTTTGCGGAACTGCCCCACACAGGCAAACGAGACAGAACAGAAGGGTAAGTAAGCTTTCCTTTGGCTAAAACTTTGACTACAACTAAGGATACGTATCTCAGGCTGATGTCCGACTCCCTTCTGTTCTCTTGTCTCAAACACAGGAGGCTGCCCTGGCCAGGGTGGCTCAGTTGGCTGGGCATTGTCCTGTGCACCGAGAGTTCACCCATTCAGTTCACAGTCAGGGCACATGCCCGGGTTGTGGGCTCGATCCCCAGTAGGTGACATGCAAGAGGCAGCCGATCGAGGTTTCTCTCTCTCCTTCTCCCTTCTCCTCTCTTTAAAATCAGTGAGGACATACTTTTTTTAAAAAAAAAAGAATAGTTTGTTGACCAATTCAAGGAACAAGTAACAAACTAGGATGAGAACACTAGACTAGTAATGGCCCCGGAATCCAGGGAAGTGTCCCGAGACCAGTCTCTGACATTTACCGACTGTTATAGCAACAATGGTGGTGCCCCCCCGCCCCACCCCCCCGTCCCAGGGCCACAGCACAAACAGATGCTCCGCAGACCTGAGGAATTACTATTTCATGAGAGAGTGCGGACGCTCGACTGGGGGAATTGTCTAAAAGGGCTCTGTGAGGGAGGAAATAATGGGAAAACGCTGAAAAGCACAAAGAAAGGCAGCAGAAATAACTGAGAGTGCTCGTCCTGAAGGATAAATAATTCAGGAGAAAGCAGGCCGTCTACACAAACACTTCTGTGCGTCTCAGAAAGGAGGGACCCGACTCCGTCGGGGGAAAGGCCGGCGGCAGAGCGGGAACTGAGAGGCAGAGCCTGCGGGAAGGGAGCCGCCATCCCAGGAGAGAGGAAGGTCCTGGCCACAGCGTTTTCCCAGATGGACCTGCTGCCTGGGGACGTGAGGCTCCCGCAGAGCCCCCCTCCTCCCCCCAGCCCGCCGCACGCGCCTGGCGGACATACCGAGCCCTCTTCCATCCGGAACACTTCCCAGCACCCGGCTCTGCACCGGGAATGCGACGTGCACTCGAAACGTGTTTACTGAGCCCTGGTCCCTGCGGCTCAGCTGCCTGAGCATCCATCGCCAGGAGGAGGCGAGCAGGAGGCAGCCAATCCATGTTTCTCTCTCTTTCTCCTTCCCTGTCTCTCCAAAACCAGTGAAAACATTTAAAATATACACACACTTACATTTGTGGAGTGAACATTCCATGCAGTGCTCATGGAGGGGCACGGGAGGACCTGATGAACGTCAGGGACACCGGGGTTTGCGCACCCAGCGTGGCAGCCATGCCTGTCCGTTGCCACAGCAGCCCCTGGACAGCAGGTGCTGACCGTCTGTCCCTCAGCTCCAGGGGCCCAGCAGGCCCTGCTCCAGGCGCCTGGGGGGATTCTGCCAGCCGATTCCTCCCAGGCCGGAGGTTCCCCGATAGAGCCGGGCAGGGGGCGGGGGGGTAA